CCAACATAGACAAACCTTGAGGATATTATGCAAAATGAAATAAACCCATCACAGAAAGACAAATGCTGTCCAGAGTTGGTGGCTCATGCCTGTATCCCAGCACTTTGGGAGGCCAAGGTAAGTGGATTGTTTGAGCTCAGGAGTTTGAGTCCAACCTGGGCAACATGGCAAAAGCCCGTCTCAATCAAACAATACAAAATTAGCTGAGTGTCGTTACACACACCTGTGGGCCCAGCTTCTTGGGAGGCTGAGACAGGAGGATGGCCTGAGCCTGGAAGGCAGAGGTTGCAGTAAGCCAAGATCGTACCACTGCACTCCAACCTGAGTAACAGAGTGAGGCATCATCTAAAAAAAAAAAGAAAAGGAAAGACAAATACTGTGTAATTCACTCATAGGAGGTACCTAGAGTAGTCAAATTCATAGAGACAGAAAGTGAATGGTGGTTGCAAGGGACTGAGGGGAGATGGGAATGGAGAGTTGTGTAATGGGAACAGAGTTTCAGTTTGCGAACATGAAAATGTTCTGGAGATGGATGTACAACAACGTGCATGTACCTAATGCCACTGAATTGTACACTTAAAAATGGTTAAGATGGTAAATGCTATATTATGTGAATTTTATCACAATTAAAAATAAAAATGATATAAAATCAAACAAACCCTTTGCTGGGCCCACTGTCAGCAGAACAATGACCAAGGTCCATAGCACTTGTGCTGTAGTGAATTTCTGCAGGACTGGCCCCAGGCATTGCCCCCTGCCCTAGGAGCTGCACCATCAAAACAACACAGGGCTATAGCAGGAATGGCCAAGGTCTTAGAAGACCCAGGCCCTGACTATGTCTGATTGGTCTGAAAATGGCCACCTACTCCAAAGATACAATCGGCACCCAGAATGCTTGAATAAAGAGAAGCGGGTCCTCTAAGTGATGGGAATGTAAGATGTGAAGTCAGGCTAGGCGGGCAGACATGATCCCTGAGGGGTAGAAGGAACCAGAGAAGCATGGACAAAAGGTGGTGGCTGTTCTCCTGTCCTCGCTGCCTTTGCAGTGTGTTTCTGCCACGTGTTATGGTCACTGGCAACCAAAAGATTACTGGCTAGAACAGAAGCCCTCCAAAGGGCTCCCAACCCCCCAGCGTGAAACAATTCTGTAACACTAATGAGCCACCCTGTCTCCCACCTCCCAGCCCTTGCTGTTCCCTCTCCTAGGAATGCCTTCTTTCATGGATGGTCCACTAAAAATATATGCAGCTTTTAAGATGAGATTGAAGCTCCATGAAACAGGAAACCTTTATTATCTACACCCCCAACTCCACATGGAAGTGACCCATCCTTGGGCCAACTGTGGCTGCAGCACCCACCATCACACATGTCTGTTCTCACAACTGCCTCCCTGTCTAGCTGGAAGGGTCTCAAAAGCTGAGACTCATCTGTGTTCCCACTACCCAGGAGAGTATCTAGTACCTAGCGGGTGCTCAATCAATGCTTACTGAATGAAGACAGAGATACAAAGTAAATATCATCAACCCTCTTTTACAGAACACACAACTGAGGTTCAATGACGTGGCATCCCAGGTCAATCCCTTACAAGCTGCAGGCACCCCCTTGTCCTATCCCATCTCCCAGCCCTCCCCAACTGCTGAAACCCATCCACTGGAACTCCTGGTTAATAGGAAATTCACACCTGGATACATCATAGTGAAAGAGCAGAAAACCAAAGGTACAGAGAAAAATTGTAAAAGCAGCTGGAGAAGAAAAACCAGATTTCTTAAACTGACAGCTAACTTCTCAACAACAGTACACACACAAGCCAAAGAGAGTGGAGTGGTAGCTTTAGCGAGCTGAAAGAACATTTCTACCTTAGAACTCCACACCAAGGAATAAAAATGTCTTTCAAGAATTAGGATGAAATACAGATTTTTCAGGCAAACAAAAATTCTGAGAGTTCAATTAGAAGCAGACATTCACTAAAGGAAATGCTCAAGGAGCTACTTCAAGCAGAAGGAAAGCGATCCCAGATGGAAGGACCTATGCACAGGAAAGAGTGAAAAGCAACAAGCATTTAAATGCACGGGTGCATATAAATGAACGCTGTCTAGAGCAGTGATGCCTATGGCATACAAAAAAATAACTAAAATAGCCGGGCGCGGTGGCTCACACCTGTAATCCCAGCACTTTGGGAGGCCAAGGCAGGTAAATCACTAGGTCAAGAGTTCGAGACCATCCTGGTCAACATGGTGAAACCCCGTCTCTACTAAAAATACAAAAAATTAGCTGGGTGAAGAGGCAAGTGCATGTAATCCCAGTTACTTGGGAGACTGAGGCAGAGAATTGCTTGAAACCGAGGAGGCAGAGGTTGCAGTGAGCTGAGATTGTGCCACTGCACCCTGGACAATAGAGCAAGACTCCATTTCAAAAAAAAGAAAAAGAAAAAGAAACTTAGAACAGAATGACAAGTAGGTGGATCACGTGAGGTCAGGAGTTTGAGACCAACCTGGCCAACATGGTGAAACTTCGTCTCTACTAAAAATACAAAAATTAGCTGGGCCTGGTGGCATGCACCTGTAGTCCCAGCTACTCAGGAGGCTGAGGCACATGAATTGCTTAAACCCAGGAGGCAGAGGTTGCAGTAAGCCGAGATCATGCCACTGTACTCTAGCCTGGGCAACAGAATGAGACTTTGTCTCAAAAAAAAGTAATAAGTGTATTACATGTAAGAGAACTGAATGCTTTAGTCAAATAGCAAATGTTAATCAACTGGATTTTTTTTGTAAAAATCTAGATGTGACAAAAGTCACATTTAGGATATAAAAGTAAAGAAATATTGAGAGTAAAAGGAATAAGGACACTGTGCTAGGTGAGCATTAACTAATAAAGAGCTACTGTGGCTATAGTAATATCAGACAAAATAGATTTTAAAGCAAAAAGTATTATTAGAGATAAAGAGGATTATTATGTGATGATAAAAGATTCCATTTACAAGGGAGACATAAAAATTTTATATTTCTATGCACTTAACAACATAGTTGCAAAATATATAAAGCCCAAAATTATATGTCTAGAAGAAGAAAGACAAATCCAACATCATAGTGAGAGCATTTAATGCAAGTCTCTTAGTACAGACAGAAAAAGCAGTAAAAAGCCATCACAATTCAGGGAAGAAATAAACCATCTGTACGATATTATTAACATATTTGATCTAGTGGACACATAGAGAATGCTGCACCAAACAAGAGCAGACTACAGTTTCTTTTCAAGCATACATGAACATTTACAAAAAGATAATGTCTAGGTCAGGCACGGTGGCTCACGCTTTTAATCCCAGCACTTTGGGAAGCTGAGACAAGCAGATCACCTGAGATCAGGAGCTCAAGACCAGCCTGGCCAACATGGTGAAACCCTATCTCTACTACAAATACAAAAATTAACCCAGTATGGTGGTGCGTGCCTGTAATCCCAGCTACTTGGAAGGCTGAGGCAGAAGAATCACTTGAATCCAGGAGGCAGAGGTTGCAGTGAGCCAAGATCACGCCACTGCACTCCAGCCTGGACAACAGAGCAAGATTCCATCTCAAAAAAAAAAAAAAAGATTATGTTGAATTGAAATTTAACATGATTTCTGATAAGAATGTAATTAACTTAGTAATTAATATTAAAAATAAAACTAGGAAATACATTTCTAAACAACTTGGTATACAAAAATAAAATGATACATGAAAATTAGAAAATATTTACAACAGAAGAATAACAAAAATATCACATATCAAAACTTGTGCTTCTCTCTCAGTAGCCCTTTATGTACTAAGAAGATTTAGTCTTGAAGGAAGAAAGGCAGAAAATTAATGAAAAGGTGTCTATTTCAGACATTAGAAAAAGAAATGTAGAATACCCCAAAAATGGTAGAATAAAAAAGTTGAGAGTATAAATAAAATATGAAACAAACATAATACATGCAATAGGGAAATCTAAATAAAATTTGAAAGTCAAAATTCATTTCTTTGAAACTATTAAGAAAGTTTTAAAATCCTGGCAAGACTGATCAAAATGGGAGAGAAGAAAAGAGAAAGAGAGAGAATAAATATAACAAAGCAAGAGAAGTTAACCAAGAATCCTACAGACATCAAAAAATAAGAAAATAGTATGAACATATATTTGAAAATTCAAATGAAATGGATAAATTTTGGGCCGGGCATGGTGGCTCACGCCTGTAATCCCAGCACTTTGGGAGGCCGAGGCGGGTGGATCACAAGGTCAAGAGATCGAGACCATCCTGGTCAACATGGTGAAACCCCGTCTCAACTAAAAATATAAAAAATTAGCTGGGCATAGTGGTGTGTGCCTGTAATCCCAGCTACTCAGGAGGCTGAGGCAGGAGAATTGCCTGAACCCAGGAGGCGGAGGTTGCGGTGAGCGGAGATCGTGCCATTGCACTCCAGCCTGGGTAACAAGAGCGAAACTCCGTCTCAAAAAAAAAAAAAGAAAAAGAAACAGATAAATTTTTTTCTACAATACAATTCACCAAAATTTATACCAGAGGAAATGGAAAACTTGGGCAGCTTTTAAATTTTAAAACCTTGAAACCAAGATGACTTCACTGGTGAATTCTAACAAACATTTAGGGAAGAAACAATGTCATGGTTACACAAACTTTTCCCTAGTTCAGAAAAAGAGAAACCATCCCAACTTGTTTTTTTGACACCAGTGGAACCTTAATACTAAAACTTGACAGATATTAAGGAAATGAAAATCACAAGCTACTCACTTTCATGAAAGTAAATGCAAAAACTCTAAATCAAACATTAGCCAACCAAATCAAAAAATATATTTTTAAAATATAAATATATTAAAATATATATTATAAATGTATAACCCATCCTGACCAAATTTTATGTATTCTAGTAATGGAAATTGGCTTAACATTTTTTTAAAAATCAATGATACTCGGGTCTGGATCCAAGATGGGTGAATAAGAGCAGCTCTGGATCACAGTTCCCAGTGAGAGCATGGAAGGTGAGTGGTCGCCACATTTCCAGACAGATTTTTATTGCCCGCAGACCAGGAGATTCCCGGGCAGAGAGGCATCATGGGTCTCCAGTGGGCTGTTTCAGCCGTTGCGCTCTCTGCACACACACACAAAAAAAACTCACATGGGTCCAGGCACCATTTCAGCTGGCGACTGGAATGCCTGGGAGACAGAGTCACCTTTTCAACTGATAAAAAGGAGACTGAAATAGGAAGCCAGGCCAGGAGATTCCTGGGCGAAAAAGTGCCACGAGTCTCCAGCACGGCTATTTCAGCCAGTGCAGCGGGTCTGCACACAAAATCTCACACAAATCTGGGCACCTTTTCAACAGGCACCTGGAATGCTTGGGAGACAGACTCGCCCATTCAACTGATAAAAAGGGGACTGAAACAGGGAGCCAGGCCAGGAGATTCATGGGTGGAAAATTGCCTCCAGTGTGGCTGTTTCAGCCAGCGCAGCGGGTCTCCACACAAAATCTCACACAAATCCAGGCACCTTTTCAACTGGTGACTGGAACGCCTGGGAGACAGAGTCACCCATTCAACTGAAAAGAAGGGGGTCTGAGGCAGGGAGCCAGGTGATCAGGCATGGCTGGTCCCACCCCCACAAAGACCAGCAATCCCAAACACTCTGGATTGAGAATTTCACAGAAAGCACAGCTGAACCCGAGACTGTCCAGCTCTGTGTGGGAGGGGCATCCGCCATTACTGAGGCAACCCACCACTAACAATGTAGTCCACCATTGCCGAGGGGGGTCTGCCATTGCCAAGGTGGCCCGCCATTGCCAAAGAAGCCTGCCATTAAAGAGAGAGTCCACCATTACAGAGGCAGGCCACCATTGCTGAGGCAGTTCTAACTATACCCCTATAAACAGGACTGCAGGGAAGTTCACACAGAAGCTGGGCAAAGCCCACAGCAGCTCAGCAATGCCTCTGCTGGCAGACAGTGACTAGGCTGCCTACTTGCTGGACAAGGCATCCCTGAGAAAAGGCAGCAGCATGACAGAAACTTATAAATAAAGCCCTACCTTCCCTGGACAGAGTACCTGGGGAAAAAAAAAGGCTGTTATGAGTTCTGCTGCAACAGACTTAAACTACCTGCCCAGCAGCTCTGAATGGAACAACGGAGCTCACAGCTCAGCACTTGAGATCCTATAAAGGACAGAATGTCTCCTCAAGCAGCTCCCTGATCCCTGTATATCCGAAGAGTCCCCTCATAAAGGAAAGCTCAGACTGACATATGGCAGGTAGCCTTCTGGGACAAAGATAGCAAAAGAAGAAACTGGCAGCAACACTTACTGTTCTGCAGCCACTCCAGGTGAGCCCCAGGCAACCAGGGTCCAGAGTGGACCTCCAGCAGTCCTACAGCAGAGGGCCTGACTGTTAGAAGGAAAACTAAGAAACAGAAAGAAATAACTTCACCATCAACAAACTGGATGTCCACTCAGAGACCCCATCTGAAAGTCACCAACTACAAAGACCACAGGTAAATAAATCCACAAAGATGGGAAGAAACCAGTACAAAAAGAATGAAAACACCCAAAACCAGAATACCTCTCCTCCTCCAAGGGATTACAGTGCCTGACCAGCAAGGGAACAAGGCTGGATGGAGAATGAGTCTGAGGAATTGACAGAAACAGGCTTTAGAAGGTGGGTAATAAGAACTTCTCTGAGCTAAAGGAACATGTTCTAATCCAATGCAAAGAAACTAAGAACCTTAAAAAAAGGTTTGATGAAATGCTAAGGAAAATAAATAGCTTAGAGAGGAACATAAATGAATTGATGGAGCTGAAAAACACAACACAAGAACTTCGTGAAGCATACACAAGTTTCAATAGCCAAATTGACCAAGCAGAAGAAAGGATATCAGAGGTCAAAGATCAACTCAATGAAATAAAACAAGAAGTCAAAATTAGAGAAAAAAGAGTAAAAAGAAACAAACAAAGTGTCCAAGAAATATGGAATTATGTGAAAAGACCTAATCTACATTTGATGTGACAGAGAGAATGAATCCAAGCTGGAAAACACTCTTCAGGATATTATCCAGGAAAACTTCCCCAACATAGCAAGGCAGGCCAATATTCAAGTCCAGGAAATACAGAGAACACCACAAAGATATTCCTCAAGAAGAGCAACCCCAAGGCACATAATCATCAGATTCACCAGGGTTGAAATGAAGGAGAAAATGCTAAGGGCAGCCAGAGAGAAAGGTAGAGTCACCCACAAAGGGAAGTGCATCAGATTCACAGTGGATCTCTCAGCAGAAACCCTACAAGCCAGAAGAGAGTGAGGGCCAATATTCAACATCCTTAAAGAAAAGAACTTTCTGCCGGGCGCTGTGGCTCACGCCTTTAATCTCAGCACTTTGGGAGGCCGAGGTGGGTGGATCACGAGGTCAAGAGATCCAGGCCATCCTGGTCAACAAGGTGAAACCCCATCTCTACTAAAAATACAAAAATTAGCTGGGCATGATGGTGCACACCTGTAGTCCCAGCTACTCGGGAGGCTGAGGCAGGAGAATTGCCTGAACCCAGGAGACGGAGGTTGCAGTGAGCTGAGATCGTGCCATTGCACTCCAGTCTGGGTAACAACAGTGAGACTCTGTCTCAAAAAAGAAAAGAAAAGAAAAGAAAAGAAAAGAACTTTCAACCTAGGATTTCATATCCAGCCAAACTAAGTTTCATAAGCGAATGAGAAATAAAATCCTTTATGAACAAGCAATTTTTCAGAGATTTCATCACCACCAGGCCTGCTTTACAAGAGCTCCTGAAAGAAGCACTAAACATAGAAAGGAACAACCAGAACCAGCCACTCCAAAAACATACCAAATGGCAAAGAGCATCGACACAATGAAGAAACTTCATCAACTAGTGGACAAAACATCCAGCTAGCATCAAAACAGCAGGATCAAATTCACACATAACAATATTAACCCTAAATGTAAATGGGCTAAATGCCCCAATAAAAAGACACAGACTGGCAAATTGAATAAAAAGCCAAACCCCATCGATGTGCTGTATCCAGGAAACCCATCTCACATGCAAGGATACACGTAGGCTCAAAATAAAGGGATGAAGGAAGATTTACCAAGCAAATGGAGAGCAAAAAACAAGCAGGAGGTGCAATCCTAGTCTCTGATAAAATAGACTTTACACCAACAGAAATCAAAAGAGACAAAGAAGGACTTTATATAATGGTAAAAGGATCAATGCAACAAGAAGAGCTAATGATCCTAAATATATACACACCCAATACAGGAGCACCCAGATACATAAAGCAAGTTCTTAATAACCTCCAAAGAGACTTAGACCCCCACATAATAATAGTGGGAGACTTTAACACTCCACTGTCAATATTAGATCAACGAGACAGAAAATTAACAAGGTTATCCAGGACTTGAACTCAGGCCTAGACCAAGCAAACCTAATAGACCTCTACAGAACTCTCCACCCCAAATCCACAGAATATACATTCTTCTCAGCACCACATCACACCTACTCTAAAATTCACCACATAATTGGAAGTAAATCACTCCTCAGCAAATGCAAAAGAATGGAAATCATAACAAACAGTCTCTGAGACCATAGTGCAATCAAGTTAGAACTCAGAATTCAGAAACTAACTCAGAACCGCACAGTTTCATGGAAACGGAACAACTGGCTCTTGAATATTGACTGAATAAACAATGAAACAATAGCAGAAATAAAGATGTTCTTTGAAATCAATGAGAACGAAGACACAACATACCAGAATCTCTGGGACACATTTAAAGTAGTGTCTAGAAGAAAATATATAGCAATAAATGCCCACATGAGAAGCAAGGAAAGATCTAAAATCAACACCCTATCATCAAAATTGAAAGAGCTAGAGGAGCAAGACCAAAAAAAACTCAAAACCTAGCAGAAGACACGAAATAACTAAGATCAGAGCAGAACTGAAGGAGATGGAGACACAAAAAAGCCTTCAAAAAATCAATAAATCCAGGAGCTGGTTTTTTGAAAAGATCAACAAAATAGACCATTAGCCAGATTAATAAAAAAGAAAAGAGAGAAGAATCAAATCAATGCAATAAAAAAAATATAAAGGGGATATCACCACAGATTCCACAGAAATACAAACCACCGTCAGAGATTTCTACAAACAACTATATGCACATAAACCAATAAACCTGTAAGAAATGGATAAACTCCTGGACACTTGCATCCTCCCAAGCCTAAACCAGGAAGAAGTTGAAACCCTGAATAGACCAATAACAAGGGCTGAAGTTGAGGCAGCAATTAATAGCCTACCAAACAAAAAAAACCCCAGGTCCAGATGGGTTCACAGGCGAATTCTACCAGACATAGAAAGAGGTACCACTCCTTCTGAAACTATTCCAAACAATCTAAAAAGAGGGAGTCCTTCTCAAATCATTTTATGAGACCAACATCATCCTGATACCAAAACCTGGCAGAGACTCAACAAGAAAAGAAAACTTCAGGCCAATATCCATGATGAACATAGATGCAAAAATCTTCAATAAAATACTCACAAACCAATTACAACGGCACATCAAAAAGCTTATCCATCACAATCAAGTAGGCTTTATCCCAGGAATGCAAGGTTGGTTCAACATACGCAAGTCTATAAACGTAATCCACCACATAAACAGAACCAAACACAAAAACCACGATTATCTCAATTGATGCAGAAAAGGCCTCTGACAAAATTCAACAGTCCTTTATGCTAAAAACCCTCAATAAACTAGGTATTGACGGAACATATCTCAAAATAGTAAAAGCTATTTATGACAAACCCACAGCCAATATCATACTGAATGGGCAAAAACTGGAAGCATTCCCTTTGAAATCTGACACTAGACAAGGATGCCCTCCCTCCCCACTCCTATTCAATATAGTATTGGAAGTTCTAGCCAGAGCAATCAGGCAAAAAAAAGAAATAAAGTGTATTCGATTAGGAAAGGAGGAAGTCAAATTGTCTCTATTTGCAGACGACATGATTGTATATTTAGAAGACCCTATCATCTCAGCCCAAAATCTGCTCAAACTGAGAAGCAACTTCAGCAAAGTCTTAGTATACAAAATCAATGTGCAGAAATCACAAACATTTCTGTACACGAATAACAGACTTAGAGCCAAATCAAGAACGAAATGCCATTCACAATGGCTACAAAGAGAATAAAATGCCTAGGAATATAACTAACAAAGAATGTAATCCGTATCAGTAACTTGAAAATGAGATATTAAGAAAAACCAATTCTTCCCTAAATTTAGTTCGTCTGGGCCGGGCCGGTGGCTCACGCCTGTAATCCCAGCACTTTGGGAGGCCGAGGCAGGTGGATCACAAGGTCAAGAGATCGAGACCATCCTGGTCAACGTGGTGAAACCCCGACTCTACTAAAAAATACAAAAAATTAGCTGGGCATGGTGGCATGTACCTGTAATCCCAGCTACTCAGGAGGCTGAGTCAGGAGAATTGCCTGAATCCAGGAGGCGGAGGTTGCAGTGAGCCGAGATCGTGCCATTGCACTCCAGTCTGGGTAACAACAGTAAAACTCTGTCTCAAAAAAAAAAAAAAGAAAGAAAGTTACAAAGCTCTTAGGACCTTGAGGGGGAAATTTAAACAAGACTTAAAAAGCATTAGCCACAAACGGGGGAAAAGCTACAAAGAGAGTAAAAACAAAGCCATGTTGGGGAAAGATATTTCCAAAATAAAGAATTCTAAATAGAGGGACTATTTGAAGAACCACAAATCAATGTGAAAGAAGCTACACCATCAAGGGAGATGAAAGTTGACTACAAATTCTTTGCTATTCTTCTCATTGAAAGGTGGAATCAAATTCCCCTTTCCTTGAATCTAGGCTGGCCTTACTGACTTGCTTGACTGAAAAAACACATCTGGGACATTCAACACTAGGTCAGAAGAGGCCCTGCACTTTCATCCAATGCTTGCAATGCTTGTTCTGCAGACCACCTGAGACTGTCCTGCTGTGAAGAAGCCATTCCCCAGCTAGCCTCACCCCGTCCATTGAGTCATCACAGCTGAGGACAAGTCGCGCTCAACTTGAAGACCCATGAGCAAAAGAAATTAGTGCTGCTTTTTCTGGACACAAAATTTTGGAGTGGTTGGTGATATAGGAGTACATAACCAGAATAACAACTTAATAGAAAAATGAACAAAGCGTTTGAACAGGCACCTTTCAAAAGAAAAAACTCATTTGTGATTAGAGAGATACAATTTATTTGTTTATTTTTTTTAAGTTGGGGTTTCACCATGATGGCCAAGCTGGTCTTGAACTCATGACCTCAGGTGATCCACCCACCTTGGCCTCCCAAAGTGCTAGGATTACAGGCCTTAGCCACCATGCCCGGCCAGAGAGACACAATTTAAAACTAGAATGAGATGCCATTACACATCCATCAGAAAATAGGAGTGTAAAATCATGTATCCACTTTGGAAAGAATTTGGCATCACCTATTCAAGCTGCAGATACACATGCCCTCTGACCCACTCTACCCTAGGGAGTCTCCCGCATAAGGGCACACGAGACAGACCTACCAATGTTCACAGCAGCACTGTTTGTGAAAGGCAGAATCTGCAAACAACCCAAACTTCCATCTTAGTGGAAAAAGTAAATACATCATTGCAATATGTTTCTACAATGGAGGCCTATGCAGCAGTGAAAATGAACAAGCTGGCAGTTCGGCGGTCCCGCGGATCTGTCTCTTGCTTCAACAGTGTTTGAAGAAAAAAAAAAACAGTGTTTGAACGGAACAGATCCCGGGGACTTTCTTCCAGCCTCCAACCGCGCTCTGATTTCCTATCCACTTGGAACCTCCGGGACCATCTTCTCTCCATCTCCTGCTTCTGGTGACCCGCTATTACCATTTTTGTGGTTAGCTCCTTTTTGCCGACGAACCATGAGCTCCCATTCGTCAGAATTACTCCACTAACGTGGAGGCAGCCGTCAGCCGCCTGGTCAATGTGTACCTGCAGGCCTCCTACACCTACCTCTCTCTGGGCTATTTCGACCATGATGATGTGGCTCTGGAAGGCGTGAGACACTTCCGCGAATTGGCCAAGGAGAAACGCAAGGGCTATGAGCATCTCCTGAAGAGGCAAAACCAGCCGCGCCGTCCTCCAGGACATCAAGAATGCGGCTCAAGATGAGTGGGGTAAAATCCTGGACACTATGAAAGCCGCCATGGCCCTGGAGAAAAGTCTGAACCAGGCCCTTTTGGATCTTCATGCCCTGGGTTCTGCCCCCGCGGACCCCCATCTCTGTGACCCCCTGGAGAGTCACTTCCTAGATGAAGAAGTGAAAATCATCCAGAAGATGGGTGACCACCTGACCAACCTCTGCAGGCTGGCTGACCCAGAGGCTGGGCTGGGCGAGTATCTCTTCCAAAGGCTCACTCTCAAGCAAGTCTAAGAGCCTACTGAGCCCAGCGACTTCTAAAGGGCCCTTACAAAATAACAGGGCTTCTGCCTAAGCCTCTCCCTCCAGCCATTAGGCAGCTTTCTAACTACCCTAACAAGTCTTGGACCAAATGGAAATAAAGCTATTTGAAGCAAAAAAAGAAAAGAAAAAAGAAAATGAACAAGCTAAAGCTTTAGAAAACATGAATGCTATTTACAAACATGACATTGAATAAAAGACAAAACCAAAACAAAACAGAAAAAAGCCATATGTAGTGGCCTTTTATTCAAATGAAGTTAAATAACAACCGGTACAATTTAGAAATGCACTCAGATAGTAAAAAACTATTTTTTTTAATATTATCAGTGTCAGCTGGGCATGGTGGCTCATCCCTGTAATCCTAGCATTTTGGGAGGCTGAGATGAGAGGATCACTTGAGACCAGGAGTTTGAGACCAGACTGGGCAACATGGTGAAACCCTATCTCTACTAAAAATATTAACACAAAAAATAAGCCAGACACGGTGGCACACATCTGTAATCCCAGATACTTGGGAGGCTGAAGCAGGAGAATCACTTGAACCCAAGAGGTTGCAGTGAGCCAAGATGGTGCTATTGCACTCCAGCCTGAGAAACAGAGCAAGATTCTGTCTCAAAAATCAAAGTAAAACAAAATATTATCAACGTAGCCAGAATAGTGGTTATGTCTAGAGCAGAAGGAAAGGATTATGATTGCAGAGGAGCACTGGAAAGATGTTTGAGGTGTTAATACCCTTAACTTTTTTTAACTTGGGTGATGGTTACATTGGACCTACTTTATTCGCAAAATGGTATATTTGTGTTTTATGCACTTTTCAGTAAATATTGTTAATGTAAGGGAAAAAAGGAGAACGTCCACGAGCTGCACCTAGCTGCAGCGACATGCACATAATTTGCGTCCTTCTGCCCATTGCTTGGATGAAGCACCCCTGACAGCCAACACTAGACCTTGCTCTGCCAGGCCTCCCCCTCCTGCGTCAGTGAGCCTGCCTCTGCAGGACCTGCACTCACATCTCCCTCCAGATGCTCCCCATCTTCCCTTCAAAGCCTACACGCTGTGGGAAGGCTTGTCTAGACTCATTGTCTCCAGGTATTCGCTTCTCATTCTCTCTTGAACTCTCTCCAATTAAGCGTTCCTCCCACCATTCACCCACACTGCTCTATCAAGATCACTAATGACCTGATGGTGTCACATCCAGTGGTCGCCTCTCATTCCTCCTCTTGACCTGTCAGCACATTTGGGACAGCTGAGCAGCCCTCTCTTAAACACTCTCTTCACCTGGCTGTAGGGGCCTCCTCTTGCCCTTCTGGTTTTTCTCCAGCCTTCCTGGCTGCTTCAGCTCAATCTCCTCAGTCCCTCCTTCTCCTATCTCCCCTACCCACCTTTCCTCGGTCACTCTCTGGATGATCTCATACAGTTCCAATGCTTTAAAATGCCATCTCTATGGTTATGACTCCCAAATCTTGATTTCCAGCCCACCACCCCCAACTCTCACCGCCGTGAAGTCCTGCCTCACTGACACAGCCAGCATCTAACCAGCATCTCCACTTAAAGTCGGAACATTCATCTTCAACCAGAGGTGTCCAAAAGTGAGCTCCACATCTTCCCACCCTTAAACCGGCTTCTCCTGCAGCCTTCTCCATTCTGGCAACTTCCATCCTTTCTGAAGCTCAGGCAAAAAACCTGAGAGTCATCCCTGACTTTCTGTTTTCCTCCTCCCACCCCCAAGCCACTCCCACAGCCAAGCCAGTAGCAAATCCTGTCTGCTTTGGCTTCGATAAAGATCCAGAATCCAGCCCCTTCACGCTCCTCCGAGACCACCGCTGAGGCCTCTTGCCTCATTGCAGGAGCTCCTAATTGGTCCCGGGATCCCACCCGTACCCTCACAGCGTGTTCACAGCAACAGCAGCCAGACTGACTCAGCTACACAGCGTGTCTGTTCTGTCTCTCCTCTGCTGAGAACCTTCGGCTTCCCACCTCCCTTAGGGGAAAAGTTCCCTCCATAGGAGGGTTTCTTCTCTATCCTCCTATCCCTCAACCTCTCACCTCTGCCTCAGTACAGTGGCCTACATATTTGTGCCCCCTGAACACACCTTTGCACCTACCGGTTGCTCTACCTGGCAAGCTTCTCCCCGAGACAGATACCTGCTTTCAAGTTTTCACTCGCTTGCCCTTCTCAGGAAAGCCTCCCAGACCACCCTACTTAAAACTGCAGGTCCTCTTTCCTGCTATGTGTTTTCCCCTAAGGAGTATGACCACCCAACAGTCTATGCTATTTTAAAACCTATTTGTGGCCGGGCGTGGTGGGTCACGCCTGTAATTCCAGAACTTTAGGAGGCTGAGGCAGGCGAATCACTTGAGGTCAGGAGTTTGAGACCAGCCTGGCCCTCTCTACTAAAAATACAAAAAATTAGCCGGGCGTGGTGGCTCACGCCTGCAATACCAACTACTCAGGAGGCTAAAGCAGGAGAATCGCTTGAAACCCGGAAGCATCGCCAGGCGCGGTGGCTCACGCCTGTAATCCCAGCACTTTAGGAGGCCGAGGCGGGCGGATCACGAGGTCAAGAGATCGAGACCATCCTGGCCATGGTGAAACCCCGTCTCTACTAAAACTACAAAAATTAGCCGGGCGTGGTGGCATGCGCCTGTGGTCCCAGCTGCTCGGGAGGCTGAGGCGGAAGAATCACTTGAACCCAGGCGGAGGTTGCAATGAGCCGAGACTGCGCCACTGCACTCCAGCCTGGCGACAGAGTAAGACTCCGTCTCAACAAAAAAAACGAAACCCGGAAGCAGAGGTTGCAGTGAGCTAAGATTGCACCACGGCACTCCATCCTGGGCGTCAGAGTGAGACCCGTCTTAAAACAAAATAAAAACCTATTTTATTATCAATCTCCCCACACTACACTCTAAGCTCCAGGCTGTATACTCAGTACCTGTAATGGTGCTTGGCATGTGGAAGGGGGTCAGTCGACGTTAATTAAAGGAATGAGGGTGACTTGCACACGCCGCATAGTAAAGCGGCGGAGAACCTGCACCAGGCCTCTCAGACCGCGATCCTGAGAAGAACTAGCCTGTAAAACCAGGAAGAAACTGGAAGGGGCGGGGCCCGGTAGGCGGGGCCAGTGCTGAGAAGCCCCGCCCCGCCCCCGGATTGGGAGCTCTCTGGTCTAGGCGCTAGGATTCTCTCAATCCCCGAGGAACGCGGGCCCTGCAGGGCTTGGGGAGCGTGGCTGGGCCCCTTCACCCAGGTCCGGGCAGCGCCGGGCCTCGCCGGGCCCGCTGGAGAGACTGAGCGCCGGGGTCACCGCTGCCTCCGGGGGGTGACAGAGCCAACTGGGCGCACCTGGGTGCTGGCGGCTGCGGAGCCGCGGGGCCCGGGCCTGAGGCCGCCTCCCACCTTGTCCTCGCGCCCTTTCCTGATCTGACCCACCACTGCGGCCCACTAGGCTGACAGCGCCCGGGACTCCTGGCGAGGCGTCTGGGAGGATCTGCGTGCTCAGGGTGGAGGGACCTTGGGGGCAAGCTGAAGAATGAGTTAATATCCAGGCAAAGAGCCAGAAGGTGTCTGGGCCTGGGGTGTCTGAAGCTGAGGGCGAGGAGGGAGCGTTGTTTGGAGGAGAAGACAGAAAGCCAATGTGACTGTACTCGCCACGAGGGCTGCTGTGGGGAGTAGGGGCCCAAGGCCCCAATGAGGATTTGGGCTTTTCCCCAAAGTGGCAATGATCCTTTTAATTGTTCCTCACCAGAGAAGCAGGATCAAACTTGTCTTGTAAACACCTCCCACTTGAATGGAAGGGAAAGGGAAGTGAAAAGCATGAGTAGGACAGGGTCCAGCCAGCCTGGACCAGGGGGAGTGGGGGCAGGTGTAGAGAGGGATAAATAGATTTTTGGAGTTAGAATCAATGGGACCCGGGGAGAAGTTAATTGCACGTGGGGGGGATGATAAAGAAAAAGCAGCCAAAACAGACGTCAGGGTTCTGGCTTAAGCAGCTGCCGAGAAGAGCTGCCACTTCAGGAAGGGGGAGAGGTCATTCCAGAAGGCAGTTTGGCGCCATTAAACCTTTGACACTCATGAGATTACAGCAAATCTGTTCCAATACTTAAGTCACTGGAAGAAACCACTTACCAGGGAAGTTCCAGCGAAGTTGCCTGTAGAGGATCTTTCTCCAGATCACAAAAAATGCTGCCATGCCTGGTGGGGCTGGACTCTGTCTATGCTGGGTTTGGGCCTGGATAAATGTTGCAGCCAGCCTTGATTCTGGGGAGAGGTATTTAAGAATGGGAACATAAAGGCAGCGGCAAATGAGATTGTCACATATATGTGGCCATGGCAGTCCATCCACTGCCTGCCTGACCCTGTGGCCCTGTGTGACTAGCCCAAGGAGCCAACTCTGCCAGCTGCTGTCCACTGTGAAGGCAGCAGGCCTGGCTGAAGCTGGCACTGTGGTTATGACCCTGTTGAGCCAAAACTGTCTGGGTTTGTAATCCCAGCTCCACCTCCTGCTACCTGCATGGCCTTGGTCAAGTTTCTGTTTCTTCATCTGTAAAGTGGGAATACTAACATCTAGATCATATGATTGCAGTGAGACACTCACCATGTTATAAAGGATTCACTACTTGATTAAGAAGAACCACGAGGCCGGGCATGGTGGCTCACGCCTAAAATCCCAGCACTTTGGGAGGCCGAGGCAGGTGGATCACAAGGTCAAGAAATAGAGACCATCCTGGTCAACATGGTGAAACCCCGTCTCTACTAAAAATACAAAAATTAACTGGGCATGGTGGCGTGCGCCTGTAGTTCCAGCTACTCGGGAGGCTGAGGCCGGAGAATTGCCTGAACCCAGGAGGCGGAGGTTGCGGTGAGTCGAGATCATGCCACTGCACTCCAGCCTGGGTAACGAGCGAAACTCCATCTCAAAAAAGAAGAAGAAGAAGAACCACGAGCCCGTGGGGACCAGCTTGGAGTGCAGCCACAGATTCCTTAACAAGTTTATTGAATTTTTAAGTAACTTTTTTTTTTTTGCTTCCCAGTCCAGATGGATCTGTCACACCGGCAGGTGGCGCTCAGAGGAGGAGTCGGGCTGGAAGACACCCAAGTAGGACAGGATGCTGGTGCCTTGA